TGGTGGGGAGCATCACCTGCTGGAAAACGGGTCCAGCGCCCCTTGTAGAGACTGAATACATCTGATATTGGAACCTTACCTTGCCCCTAGTTTAATTATTTATTTCTTTTGTCTATGATATCTACAGTCTGTCAGAGTGTGTGTTCAGTGACTCAGGGCCTCGCCACACCAATGTGGAAAACTGCATTTTSGACATTTTCTCCTCCCCACACAGCATGTCGAAATCCGAGATGCAAAAAAAATTCAGGAGATGTCAGGGAAAGAGTTTCGACACCTCCTCTCGAGAAGGGCTCGTTTCCMCTTCAGGCCTGCAACTTGGACATTTTTAACAGTCCCCGGATGGGATGTCGAATTCTTGCCCGAATGTGGAAGAAAAAGAGAACGCACCAAGGCTTGTCCTATCTTCACCCCAGTTTGTCTCTTTTGTGCATACACTGCAWATGACTTGTGAGTTCTTCACTTCGACATGCTGTGTGGCGAAGAGGGTTTTTCTGTCGAAAGAGGGAATGTCGAAAATTTCCTGACATATGTCGAATTTCGTGATGTTTCTACATTSGTGTGGCRAGGCCCTCAGCGAGCKSTTTGATAGTAGGCTTTGTTTTGTGCTTTCTTGTCTTCTTTGGCTTCTTCTTCGTGGTCTTCTTCTCTCATTTGTTTCTTTCTGTGTTGCTCTGTGTGCAGACTCCGCATAACAATTCGTAAGTTAATCACTGTGCTGTGGAGGCAGTTATTGCCCCAAGATCGCAAGATCGAATCCTCAAGATATAAGAAGATAGGGGGGGGGGGGAAGACAAAAAGAGAAGAGACCAGCTGCGCGCAACGCCGTCGACGCAGTCACCAGCCCGGTTTCTGCTCCTTGCACCATCCCTAACGTTTTCTTGGTCTGCTTATCGCAGTGGTTCCGTCTGCAACGGCCAGCGACGGTGGTGGTTCTCTTAAACAGCTGTGGTTTTGTTGCTTCCGGTCCTTTCGGAGACTCCCCTTGACCGTGGGCTGGTCCATTGTAACCAAGAACAACAACAAACAGGATCATGGCGAAGGTTCCGATCCAGAAGAACAGAGCCCTCATCGCGCTCTTCCTTTTCTGCCTAATGGCCGCTACTGTGATCCCTGGAGTCTATGCAGRACCTCTAGTGCGCGACAACACGTACGACACCCCTTCACAATGCGAGCACTTGTGCGAGTACCACTGCTCCGGTCTCACAGATATCCTGTCCTGGAAGCTCGGCTGCACCCGGACTTACCATTGGAAGTGCGACGGCACAGAAGTTTGCACTTGCACTATTTGCTACGAGGGTGCTTTTTGCGGGGAGTTTGGGTGTTGAAASAGGACCACTTTGGACAAGCATTCCCAAAAGGAGCAACGGAGGGACGGAGGGACTGAGGGACTGAGGCACTGAGGGAATTAGCTTTCGTTTCATCCTGGATGTCAGTGCCCACAAGTTCCTCTGCATTGAGGTCCCAATGGAGGAAGACAAGCAGATTGATCTCCACACAGATGGCCACAGTGGAGAGAGGCCAAATATATCGTTGACATGGATCGACGTCTGCAAAGTGGTGTAGAGTCTGTAGACAGATTGTTCTTGCTGGTGTGTACCGAATGCTTTTGTGGAGAGAGGCCAAATATATCGTTGGCATGCTTTTCAACAGTTTTTGTTTTTGCATCTTCTTGATTTCTCGGTTGGGGGCATGTGGATGATGTGGTTATGGGTGTAGAAGTGTGTGCATAATTGAAGGGGGCGGCTAACTTGAAGGAGCAATGCCATGTGTAGATCAGGAGTCCGCACCCTGACATGCTTCTYATCACTATTCAGTTTTTTGCATCTTCTTGGATTGAATTTCTCGTTTGGGGGGAAATTGGAAGCATGTGTCAGTGGCCAGGGGTGAAGGAGCTTGTCCA